GTGAAATAAATCCAACAGCTCGAATAGACGAAACATCTTTCACTCAGGGTACATTTAAGTAAAAAAAAAAATTGTCGATACTACGAAACTTAAGGTTTCACAGATCCTTTTTTAACTACAAAATTAGTCAGAGTTTAAAATAATATACAGGGTGATTTCGAATCACACGGATTGAGATCGGGTGAACGCGGAGGCCAAGTTACTGCGCCGTTTCTACCGACCCATTAGTTAGGAAAATAGTTATTTAACTATTCAGTTACTGGCCTAGCAAAATGTGGTGGTGCCCCATCATGCAACAACACACTGTTTAAAAACCCGAGGCACTGTGCCGCGTTTAGTCTGTTTGGTAAAACATAAAATCCAACTAGGCGCTCATTTACGATACCGGTCCACACATTTATGGAAAACCGTTGTTCAAACCGCACTTCCTGACGAACGTGTGGATTTTCATCGGACCAAATGTGAGTGTTATGGCTGTTGAAAACAGCATTGCGAGTGAATCCTGCTTCATCCGTAAAGATAATGCAATTTAAAACTTTAGGGCGTTCACTGCATTGCTGTAACAACCATTCGCAGTAAATTACACGACGTGGAAAATCAGCGGGCTGCATAGCTTACACTTTTTGAACGTGGTATGGATGTGGGTCTTGCTCTTTTAGTGTATGATGCACTACAAACTGTGAAACTTTAACTTCAGCTGCAAGTCGGCCAGTGCTGATGTCGGGCTCTCCTTCCAAAATTTGTTCTTCAGCTTGCGTTATTCTTTCGTGCTTATCAGTGCTCCGCTTTTTCGGTTCTTAATCCTAGGCGTTCTGTGCCATTCATTGAATAGTAGGTTAGGAAACACTACCGGTGGAGTGAATAACAATTTATATTTAATTTCAAATACTTTTTTCTAGACATTGCTACCTCTTGGGAACGTGAACTTTACGCAGTGCAATTAATCTTATTGTGAGACATTTCCCATTTTTTTTGTTGCACACATTTCGAAATCATCCTGCATTTGTTTACAAAATTGTTTCATTTCAGACATTTGTCACGGAACGAATTAATCCAAACTGATTGTTTAATTTAAGTTTATAAAGATCTTTTCGTGTTAAAGTTCACCGTTCTTTTACAAAGAGACTCATAATTTTTGTGTTAAGTAATATAATTATTGCTTAGTAATATATTTTTTATTTTTAATAAAAACTATTTTTCCTAATCAAGTTTTGATGAGTCATAATAATACCGGAATCGAAGAGTATTTGGAATATAACTGTAAGTTTTTTTTTGTTTTCTACTAATTTTGCGTATATGTATTTTGAAACAAAAAATATTAACGTTATCATATTTAAATAATTTCCTGTGTAATGGTCTTAAGATGTAATTATTACATTTTCTGCAGTGCTTTTGAAGTCACGTTTGTTAAGTAAACTTCATTCGTTACAATATTGTTATAATTATATTACATAGACATATTTAGGTAACAATGCAAAAGTAAGGAAATTTAGTAGAACATTTTTATTATTTTCAGGGGTTCACACACTCTCCTAGACTATTAAAAAAGTTGTGGGTTGTGGTAGTTAAATGCAAAACTTGTATACCGGTTGTGTAAATAGAGGTTTATTATTTTATGGTAAACGGTTTTAAAAGGAACTATTTTTTTTTAACTTTCTAGTTAGCGAAGTCAAGAAGTAAGAATCTTTTTATGTAAAGTTAAAAAAATTATCCTAGTTTCAAGTGAAACCAATAGCATACGTATCAAATTTTATTGTATAGATTTCTTTTTGGTTAGTTTATTTTCTATGTATTTAACTAATAGTTTTGAACTATTTTTTTCAAAATATAGTTGCAATACTTACAATAGGTATATTAATGATTAGAAACAGAAAAAATAGGCTAAGACCAAAGTTGTTATTTGATGAATATATACTAAAATTAACCCACAATTTAATTTTTCTAATGGAATACCCTATATATACTTTGTGATTGACACATTCTTAATCTTTATAACTACTGTTCATTTTTGAAATTTCGATTCAACGTTGCCAAATTATTACAATTTTTTTGAAATTGTTTAACAAAGGAATGGTTCACAAAAAATCACATTAAGGTCATTTTTAAAACCTGATTCTCGATATTATGTCGAGACAATCTACAAATACTGCGATTTTAGTTTCTTCAAATAGTACACCCTGTATTTTATTACCATATCTGATTCTGTCTTTTGTTCTCTTCCAAAATAGGATGAGATGCAGTAATAAAATACAAAATGTTCTAGTTGAACAAACTGGAATATCGACATTTAAAAATTAGAGAGTTTTAATATTTTTATAAGCACTCTGTATATTAAAATTTTATTTAATTAATAACGTAACAAAGTACGTACTTCTATTTATCTCTCCATAAAGTATTCGGAAACAGAAAGAGGCTATCAAAAAATATATAAAAGTGTATGGTGTATTCTATTTAACTATCGAAAACAAAACACTATATAATCGAAAATAATTTGAATATCTGTATTATTCAAAGAGCTGTACAACTTTAGTCTCTGACTTTTTTCTGTCCCTAATAATAATGAATGAGATACGAGAAACCCTATTAACTATGATTTTTAGCATACAGATAACGTTAACACAGATTACTGCATTAGATTTTTCATATATGAAAAGTGTTTCAGCGTTCTAGTCATTGACAAAATTTTGATCTGTTCAAAAGTCATACATCAAAGTTGAATACACTTCGCGACTTCCGCTTCCGGGCTTTTCTCTAGCTAACGCCTCCCGGTCGCCGTCACCGATGATGAGTCACCCATCATCGCCGCACATACTAGAAAACCCGTAGGTGTCGTATCGGGGCGGGTATGGGTTTATCTCCTAACAATATTTTTGCCTCCCGAGCGTAAGCGTTTCCGTCTGTCTGTAGTTTGTCGTCTGTGTCGATTTTCATTGGATAGATGATTTCCGAAACTATTGGACTGACTGTTGTCAAATTTTGTATGTATATTGCGAATATCATGTAGATGCTAAAGCATTAATCAAAATGCGATTAGTTATCCCCACCAACAGTTTGATAATGTCTCCGAAATTTTTTTGTAAACGTCATCTAAATTTAATAAAATAACATACACGTATGGGTGATTAAAGTATGATACATTAATAAATTCAAAAAAACAAGCTCTACAAGATCTCTAAAAAATGTATAGTGTGTCCTTATAAGCGATATGTGGTAAAGAGACAAAAAAAAATTATAAGGTATCAAAACGAATTTATATGATGTTATTTACCTTCTTAGGCGGTTAGTGGAATCTAATCTATTTTTATTTTAATGTATAGAGGTTATCACGAATACAAATTCGCAAAATTAAGTTCTTTAATTTTCAAAGAAGCGGGATTTGTGGCACTGCATATCGGGGGAGAGGGAAGTCCTGCCGAAATTACTTTGGACTAATTTTTTACAGTCGTATACTGTCACAAAATGTTATAAAATTTTGATGTCTTCTGCGAAAACTTTTATGCATATAATGAAACATCCATAAACCATATCAACAAATGGTTGGGATGATGAGACAAATTTTGGTTAACATTTTATCGTTTATTTAAAATTTCACAACAATATTTCCGGTTGTTTCGACAAAAATTGACATAACTAAGTTCTGCTGGGCTGAGACACGTTTTTCTATGGTAAATGCCAGATCATGAAGACATCTTGTAGAACTTAAAATGTTTTTACATATCCTGGTGTTATCCCGACCATCTGTATATTTTAAGCTATTTTTGAATACACTATACTCGTGACTCCATCCGAAGGACCACTATTTTCATATTTTCTCGACGTTTCATGACCGTTAAAGTATAAAAAATAGGCTTCTCGATTTCGACTGTCTGTCTGTCTGTCTTTCATTACACAAATAATCTCCGGAACTACAAGATCGATTGTTGTCAAATTTTATATGTAGATTAAATGTTAGAAATATTGCATAGATGATAAAACACTACCCAAAATTTGTCTGATTATACCCACCAATAAAGTGATGACGTCACTTAAAAATTTAGTAGTAAATGCCATTTAAATTTTATAAATAAGTTACTCCTCAACTTGTAGTTTATGAATCCGACTTGATGTTCTACCCTAGACACTCAGATTTTTGGAAAAAGATTTCAAAATTCGATAACAATAATCTAATTTTGAAACCTCAAAACCGATTGTTGTGAAATCTTCTAAACGTTTTAAGGTAATCGTTAGCATGGTAAATTTCAAAATTTTGGCTAATAAATTCTATCTGAAAGGTGCAAAATGTTACGAGTGTGCACTGGTGGTTATAATATTTTTTATAACTGCTTATACAGGGTGACTCAAAAGAATAAATAAATATCGCAAAGTCAAATTTTATAATTTTTCGAAAACACTAGACATATTTTATTTCAGTAGGCGAGGGAAGTTTTGCCTAAAAAAGCCTTAGATATTTGACACATCCTGGTCTAGTGTCAACTTTATGCAGTAAGTTCAATCAAATGTATTTTACTGCCACTCACACCAAGTGTTTCTAAATGTCAATATTTTCAACGTACACAAAAATTCGGTAACAGTTTTTTCAATTCACCTTATTTCGGTTTCTTTAATCGATCTGGGGCGGATTTGGTCAGTGAGATCATGCTTATGGCACCGTATAATGTACTACATCCTGGTGGTTCTGATCGATTTTTGTTTTTTAGAAAACGATTAATGTTTTAAGTAATTTAGTTCTGCTAAACTTAATTTATTATAATAGTGTAAGCTTCTGCATTGCCACAATCGTCTTGAGTAATTGCAACCACTACACAAAAAAACTTATATTGCAAAAGTTACGATAGATAGAATAAATAACTTTAAAGTTATTCACACCAATATTTTTGTTTTATTTTTAGACACAACATTTTGCGACGCTGTATTTTTTCTTAATTAAAAAATAATAATATTAAAAATAAAATACACAAAAAAGTCTTTTCGGGCATTCGTGTGGTAAAAAGCTCACTTACATTAAATCTCCACATCCTGTTTCGGCAGCATTACGTCAAAATAAAAAGCACCATCCAAGAAAACAACACAAAAATAAAATATCGATCTCGTTATGTTTATAGCACGCCTGATCGGTAACGACTGTGAAAGCTATTCACTCTAGTTCAACACCGCCAATGTTTTTCATGCGTTTTCTTCAGCTTGATTGATTATTCCAATCACTGTACGCAGGATTATATCAGATCGGTTGCAGGAAACTGAATCAAGTGGTACAAGGTCTGGCCCATCCGCACAGACCATCTGCAAATTAATAATGTTAGGAAGTGTGCATATTACCAGAAAAAGCTGCTTTCTACTAATAAAAGTGTGTGCATGTTAATTGGCGGTTATGTAGAAGGGGATTTTTTTGTCTGTAGTTGTGCGGGGCAGTAATAGGAACTCATTACCAAGTGGTATTATTCAATAATTCGGCTCTACGTGTGTTCTAGTTACGAAACGCATTAACATAATGCGAACTGATTCGGAAGCAATAGATTGAATAGCCGCACCTTTGTCAAAATTGGGATTAGTCATGGATTTGGAAGGCTAACAGAGATGAGTCTTTGGCGAAAAATGTGACAATTTTCTCTGAATATTGTTAGATGTTTGAATCTCGTTGTCTGTCTTTTTGACATTAGGACATTACAGTTTAAGATTGGTGGATACATGGCGAAACACCAACTAATAATAATCATTAGAATTCGGTGGTTTAGTCTGGAACCGGTGATACATAACTCTCACCGCAAAGAAATATTCAAATATCGAATTCCAGTGGCGCACTAGCCATGCAAACAAGCATGCAGTGCGAACTTGACAAAATTATGTTTACCTACCCGTGTTAAAAATTATTGGTCGAAGATTACTCGACTGACTCGATTACAATACTTCCTTAGCTTATGCTCGAAAATGAAAAAAATATATATTAATAAATAATAAAATATAATATTGCTGTTACCTTTTTGGAAAAAGTTCTAAATGGCGTTGGCACCAGTCAGAATTGTTGTTTTAAAACAGGGTTTGTGTCAAAAGTTCACTCACAAAAAGATAACAATAATCCACTCAAAGAGACAACACAGTAAAACACTAGGATCAGAAAAACACACAAAAAATCCAAGAGTGTTAAAAAGACAACTCGTGGTCTGAATTCTCCGACTGACCACTTCAAAATCGAAACAATAACTAAACTTCTTAACACAATTTCGTAGACAAGTGGTACCCTTCTGACTAGAGGGGATATTCCTTGACCAATCACCTTTTCGTAGATCTACATACGTGAATTATAAAAAAATACACACAAGCTGCTCAAACCCAAATTAAAATATCATGTCACACTTCGGAACTACCTCAGCTGATGATAAAAGACACTTCGACAAGTTCGAAAGTTAAATAATCTCCCTGGCCAAAACTAAGTCTCAAAATAAAAATATATACATACTATTGTTACTATTAATATTGTTAATGGTTCGTATATTCCACAGGTTGAAACCCAGTTACGTAACACACAAACAAAAGTCTCCAGATCATTCTTCTACAATTCATGCACATTAGTTGATTTCACTTTTTCAGTGTTGTATTAATTAAATAAATCTACCAATTGATGTATAAAATTGCCAACATTCATCATGTTATGCACAAATGAATACCGCAAAAAGTATGTTCTTAGTGTGAATACACAGAATATGTTTTTGTATCAGTAGTTAAGAACCGATTATTTACATGGAAATTAATTTGTTCCATCAAATCAACACAACTAATTTAGTATTTTAGAATTTTCTATGGGAATAATGAACACGAGGTGGCAACGCTGATCACAGTTGGTGTGGAAGTAACTGGTATACCAACCGTCTGGACCATGAGGGAAAGAATATTATACAGGTGGTCCACGAGTAATAAAGAGCGTGAATAAATTTGAAACGCAATCCAAAATACATTTTCACCACTATCTTGGATATTATTATAATTACAATTGGATCGTTAAACATAGTAACCTTAAGGCTGTACGTCCCCAGTATCAAGCCCTATACCAAATACATGCAAACTTTAATGACTTTTCATTCGAACAATATTGAATTTGAAGCGATGCTGATTTTTTTTTAGAATAGCCAGTGTATAAATGTATAGCAGAATAATTTTATTATGACAATTAATGTATCAGGTTATTAGAAAAAAAATTATTTTATCGAAACTTTGATTACCTTTTTGGGCGTTATAACATATTTTTTTCTAAGGAATTTTATCACCAATCGATAGATAAATAAAAACATTACTGGAATATAACTTTAATCAGTTGTTATTTGCCCAAAGTTTTGTAATAATTGAAAAAAACGAAATCAAAGAATTTTAGAAAATAGGCAATCAACAATACATCCAACCGGCCACAAAAAATGATTTATTACCCTATAAAGTTTTGTCCCATCCTCCACACAGGGGGGTTAAGCGGATTAGTGCGCTGGCTAGAGTCGCCCGACAGTGAGATTTTTGTTTCAAGAAATTGAAGATATGAAAGGCTTTGGCTTTAAACACCACTTTTGAATTTATTCAATTTTAGGTAACTTTTTTTTAATATATTTACTTCGTACAGGCAAATAGCGACCACATCCGGAATCAAGTATTTCGGGTAACATTGCATATAAGTAAAACTGTTCTAAGTGAGATACCATTTTTTCAATTATTCAGTATTGTAGATCACATTCTGTATCCACCATAAAATAACATTTTTGACGATGCCTTATATGTAGTTGCCCTTGGACTTGAAACATATAAATATCGTTTTCTTTCAACAAAATTTTATTTTTAATCTTTTGGGTCTAACTTTAAATATTTAATAATTTTGTTTTCTATAGCTACTTTTATATTTTCTTTTCTGGCATTAAAAGGGCATTTCATCTCTATTATAGTCTTCTCCAATTAAACCATCTGGAGACGCCCCCAAATTGTTTTTTCTGTCAACAAAAAAACCACATGATTTTACAATCAACCCTATAGATTGTAAAAATTTTTCTCTTGCCACTTCTTCGTTGTCAGTACCCCATTGGAGTGAATGGGGCAGTTTAATAAATTTAATAAATCGTTAACAGTATGTATAATTTGCTACACTTCTTAACGCTGCCACAAAAGGAGAATATAAATCACTATTCGAAAAGTTGGAATCTTCTATTGGATTTTCAGTTTGTCGAAATTTTGGACACGATAAAAGTATGTGGCGCAACTGGAATGATCACCAAAAATGTGAGCAGGACCGTTTAAAATATCTGCTTTTAAAATTTCCAAAAAAAAGCTTTTCAAATAACAGAACTAATGGGACTACCCATTCTTGAAATATTAAATAACGAAGTACAGAAACTACTTACCCAGACTTCACAAACAAAATTCAAAATGAAAATTTTTGATCAAATCGAGATCTAAACCAGAGCAAAAAACTGGTTGAAACTTGTTTCGACAGAACTTCCCTAGCTCCTGAAGTACTGCATTGAAACATATCCAGCATTTTCGTGTCGAGTCTTTTCTTTACACAATTTTGTGATGACGTCGTCATCATTTTTGCAAGGACATGCATATCGACACTAGTGCAGTGTAATACTAAAAATAATGGTATTGTATTCCAAAATTCTGGGAAAATGGAGTTTGCCATTTCTGATTTAATTAATAAAATAAATTGATTCATTCATTAATTTTTCTGAGCCACCTGTATAACCCAGTCTAAAAAATATTAATGCAGTGATAAATCACAAGTAAAAATTCATATTTTGCACATTCTGGATAGAATTTATTGAGGAAAATGTTGAGATAACGTTATCAATTTTTTGGGGGAATAAAGAGATATATTTTGATTAACAATTTATCATGCTTACAATAACTTTAAAACGTCTGCAAGATTTCAGAGTATTCAGTTTTGCAATTCTTGATTTACTTAATAAAATAAATTCATTGATTCATCAATTTTTTTTGAGTCACTTGTATAAGCAAATCTAAAAAATATCAATGCAATGATAAATTACAAGTACAGACTGATCATAGTTTGCACATTTTAGACAGGATATATCTGGCAAAATTTTGAGCTGACGTCATCAATTTTTTGGAGGGGATAAGTAAATATATTTTGATTCAAAATTAAATTGCATAATGAAGATTTTTCTTCCAAAAATCTGGACGTTTCGGGTAAAAACTCATTAGGAGTTATAAACTACGTGTGCAGGTCTATGTTATTTCACACAATTTAAAACCCATTTAAGCACAAATTTTGGTTAGCGTTTTACCATCTTCATGATATTCCTAATATAAATACAAAATTTGATAACATTCGGCATAGTACTTTCACATATCAAAAATTTCTTTTCAAGGGACTATCACTTTATGCTAAGAAAAAATAGGAGGTGCTATTTAAAAAAATTATGGATGACGCCATACATCTGTCAAATAAAGCTCAAAAATTTTGAAATTAATGTTACAAAATGGCAATTTTTATATACCAATCGACGTGTTTTTGCGTTTTTACTTCCCGAGCGTAACTGAGAAATAGTGTTTTCTTTCGTAGTAGATAAATATTTTAGTTGAGTACTCTGCTCTACTTGCAAGCCGAGAAATACCCTTTCCCAGCTGACAACAGGAGTAATAAAACTATTGTGATCGAAGCGAACAATTTTAACCCTTAGTGGCAGCTGTCATAACGTGGTAGCATGAGTTGTTTTACAAGTTACATATTTCCCGGAGATGAAATTTTCTCGCGGTGCCGTACAGCCTTAACATTTGTCAAAAGTTTTGACAAAAACTTCAAATCGAAGATAAAAACACGTTTTATTTTTTACTAATGCAGTAAATGTTCGAAGTGTTGACCCATAGCAATGTGAACTTCAAACTTTGACGGGAAGTTTAAAATTTGCCAATTTCTGTCATACGTATTTCGAAAGAAAATGTATTCGAATGATGAAGGCGTAGCTATGGTGTTAATTTACGGTGAATGCCAAAAAAAGCAGCCCGTATTTATTTACAATGTTTCCTTAAAGAAGAGCCCCTACAGATACCATGTTTAAAAGACATAGAAGTTTCTGAAAGTAAAGTGTTGAAAATGAAGTACCAGTTCTAGAAATGGTTGACGGAAAACCCCATTTCAGTCAAAGAACAATTACAGCAACTGTTGGCGTTAGTAAGACGTCAATGCGACGAATACTTTGCGCAAATAAATTTCATCCCTAACACCTGACTTTGGTACAATAAATAAAATCCACTGACTACCCAAAAAGATTACTACTGTGTCATTTTTTAAGATACAAACACAATTTAGATCCTCGTTTTTATAAAAGAAATGGTCTACAATACCCAAATAAATAGTATCGATCATTTAGAACAAAATATTACTCCCGAGAGGTGTGGTAGAGCCTTAATGCGTGTTAAAACATCCTTCTGGAATAGGATTGACGCATGTGAGAGAAACATGGGTCAGCATTTCGAACATTTATTGCATTAATAAAAAATAAAACGTGTTTTTATCTTCCAATTTGAAGTTTTTGTTAATCCAGCTGAATACAGCGAATAGACGCACGGTTTCCATGGTAACGGTGTAAACAAAACGTCTAAATGAGGCATGATTTGGTCTCCGCTTTTATCAGCACTTCAGCAACGTATCACATATCCAGTACACAACATCTTTAGATGTCAGTTTTGATACATTTTCTACAAATGGAGCGTGATAAAAAAATTAGTTTTGATAATTATGACACAAATTTTTGGATAATTTTTTAAATATTGAAAATTACTATTTCCAATGTCCATTGTATTTGTAGACGTTGTAATTTTAGCACCAGCTGCCCCTGATTAAAACTGTAATGTAGAGATGTGGAAGCTGTATGGCATACTCTATCTACAAATAATTTCAAAATATATGGAATAATTATAACCATGGCATCATGTACTGCAGTAGGTAATGTAGAAATATAGAAAAAACAAACTAAAAGTCGAATGGGGTAAAACTCTCATCAACTCTCCCCTTGATGCGATGCCATTGATCCACTTTTTCAACAGGATGTGGAAAAACTTTCCACTAAAAACCATGCAAACAATTTCAAAAGTTAGAGTGTTTACGACGTTGTCGTAACAACCACTCGCAGTAAATTATATGACGTGGACAATCAGCGGGCTCCAAAGCTTGCACTTTTTGAACGTGGTATGGATATGGGTCTTGTTCTTTTAATGTACGATGCACCACAAACTGTGAAACTCGAACTTTAGCTGCAAGTTGGCGAGTGCTGAATCGGGCCTTTCTTCGACGCGTTCCAAAATTTGTTCTTCAGCTTTTCGGTATCATGATCTCGGAGATGCTGTACCACTTATTTAAATGTTCGCCCACTCGGAATTGCGCGATTTCTAAAGCGTTCAATCGGCAATTTGCGGACCAACCTGGCGTTTCAATCAATCACACCATAAAACATTACCATGTCGACACGTTAACCGAACACACGACGGCAACCAACTGATACATGACTGGCCCTTATTGTGTTTTTGCGTGTTGCTTATCAGTGCTCCGCTTTTTTGGTTATTAATCCTACTCGTTCTGTGCCATTAATTGAATAGTAGTCAAGAAACACTACCAGTGGCGTGTAACAATTTACATTTAATGTGAAATATTTTTTTCTAGACATTGCTACCACTTAGTGAACTTTACACATTGCAATAAATCTTAGCATGAGCTATTCCCCATTTTTTATTGCACACTTTTGGAAATCAGTCTGTATACTTATTCAATATCTTTGTCCCAACTGTGAAACATAACCTCACAATGCGTTATCTGTATGATACTCCGGTGTTATTACTATAGTGCTGCCTACTTTCGATTTTTTAAAGTAAGTTTTATATTTTAACTGAAGCTTACACTCAGATTACTTTATGGAATAATAAATATTGATGAGCATTGTAGAATTTATAGGAAATAATCATTTTTCATTTTATCAAAAAACAATCCATATTATTCTCGAATGTCAAACAACCAATTATGTTTATAATTTTATAATCTATTATGGTTATTACTATTTTATTTTTTTCTTCTTTTGATGCCTATTACGATGGTGTTGATATTTTTGGGTCTCCCTCCTTGTTCTATATCATCTGCTTCATCATTTAAGTTGTTATTCATGCCATTGTTTTCTTGATTAATATAAGTTTCTTCATTTTCTGATTAAGCTTGTTGATCATAAACTTTCACAATCATTCAATTCTTGTTACTGTTTGTCAATTTTACTAAATATGATAAATTTTCCAGTAATTTTTTTAAATCACTTATGCCCTGTTCATAAAGTTATTACTGCCGCAAGCTTATTACAAATTTTTCTGTATTTCTCTTGGGAAATTGTATATTTTTTGTGAACAGATCTACAGGTTGAGAGACCAAAGTTGTACGGTTCTTTAAGAAATATACGCTAAAATTATTTTTAACGATACAGAGTGTTTTATTTTTAAGGCGCAACACACAACTTAGTTTTTTTAAATAAAACACACCATGTCTTTACATGTTTTGACTGACCTTGTTTTAGCCTTTACATTCACTGTTTACTTTTGAAATTACAATGCGACGTTACCACGTTATTCCAATTTTCTTGAAATTTTTTGGCAATGAAAGCGTTCACAAACAAATCACAATAGGCTTCTTTTTAAAGTTTGTCTTACAATATTTTGTGTTGTGGTATCAACTAAATAAAATTTTAATACACAAAGTGTTTATAAAAAATTTGAAACTTTATTATTTTCAAATATCGATATTTCGGTATTTTCAAGTGGAGCAGCCCGTATTTTATTATTGTATCTTACTCTATTTTTTGTGTTCTCATTCTCTAATATGGCGATATGTCCTTTAAAAAATAAAAAACCGCAGAAACTAGCAACTTTAAATATAAAAAATATCTGCTCTACAAAAAAAAGAGAATAAAAAATAAAATAAGAATATAAGATCTGGTATTTGAAAAAACTGAAATATTGACATTTGAAAATTGTAATAGTTAAAACATTTTTATAAACACTTTGTACATATGAAGGCTTAATCTCATTTATACCGCAACAGATCGCGTACTTTTTTATCTCTTTACAAGATGTTGTAACACAGATTTAAAAAATAACCCTACTGTGATTTTTTGTAAACCCTCCCATTTCCAAAAAAATTCAAAGAAATTGGAATAACGTAGCAACGTCGTAATTTTGTAAATAAACCGTTGTTGTAAAGCCTAAGAGGTCAATCAAACTATGTAAAGATATATAGTGTTTCATTTAAAAAAGTTGTGTATTTCTCCTGTGTCGTTGCCTGTGTTCATTTGCCGAAAACTGAACCATCTAGAATTTTGCTAAGTATTTAACTAGTTCAAAAGTTAGGGTTGAAAGTTCGGCCATCTACCAGTGTATATAATATGGGTTTTGTCTTCATCAAAATTTGAAAACTAAAAAGTACTAATTGATATTCAAGAGTACTTATTATTGTGATTAGACACAAAAAAGTTTTGTACAAGGAACGCTTTTCAATAAAAACATACTTGGCAGTAAAATACAATCATTTCGAAGGCCTTCTTTAAATTAACTTGTTAAAACATTAATCGCACTTTTCCTGTTAAAAATGTGAGCGAAAACATTTATTGTAAACCGATCAATATTTTCTTCTATATATTAACATTTTTCATGTGATTAGTGGTGTTAGTTGGTAACAATTTATGTCCTTGTAGATAGTAAAAACATGCTAAAGATTGCGGCAAGAAACTGAATATCTTGATTATGAGGTTTTATAAAAAGAGGAATGCAGAAAATCAAATTAACTAACTAGTTTTAGTTTCACTTGCATTATTAGAAGAAATATTTAAAATTGTTTGCTATCAAATAATAAAATCTAAAGCACTAAATCACTAAGAATCTGATGAAATCAACTCCAAATTTTGATTGATTTTTAGTTGTTACTTAAATTTGACAAATTAACATACTTCTGTACTTGTAGTTCATGAATCTGCTTTTATTTATAGCCTTTGATATTTAGAATTTTAAAACTGTATATCTGCAATGTGGACAAATTATTATAGAAAGTTTGTGAATTTTGCTAGCCGTACTTTTAATTTAGAAGATCTGTCTAATATATTAGACCAATCTTTTAATTATTAATTTAAGGACAATTAATAGGGGAACTGCGTCTATGATGGCATACTTTTTATTAAATGGTCATTATTTTTGGAAACTGTGACATATAATTTTGCACTTGTATGAAAATCTAAACTTCATAGTGTTAGTGCTTCATTTTAAAAATATACATGCACTTGAAACAAAATTTCATAAACAAATTAATTTTTATATATAACACGGTCGTATGTGCCATCATAGGCTGAACTTCGATATGATGGCACACTCGCTTTGGATAAGATGGCACACGACCATTTTGAAACACATTTACACTTGATATTATACATTTATTTATTAATTCTACGTACTACAAGTATTTTAATGTGCCGAGACTTACTCAGTTGCATATTTCGCAAATATATATTTTACATTTTTTGTCTACTCCACCACACTCGTTATGGGCCCACTTTAAACATTTTTGACACCTTGTCCATAGCTCCCCTTTTTTGGAGTGTGAAAATAAAGAATTACAATAAATACAAGAAGCATCTTCATCGTCGTCAGACTCGTATTCCGCCTCGCTATCTGCTTCTTGAAGTTCCACTAGAACCCTTTTTGAAAGGCGAGCTCTTTTTCTACTTTCTACTGTTTTTTTTGCTCGTTCCTTATCTTTGATAATTTCAATTTCAGGAGTGTTGTTTAAGATTCCAGACGTACCTTTTTTCCTATTTTTACAAGTTCGTTTTTCAGCTTTTGGTATTGGAGATATTTCATTTAAAATTGCCGTTGTTTGGGACACCTGTTGATCTGTTGTAAAGGCCTCTTATTTTTCATAACTCAAGTTATCATTGACTGTCTTGTCCTTTAAGTGAATTTCGTCAAAATAATTTACAGTGCTATTTTGTGTTGACGAAGTTGATGGCATGGGTTCGGCACTTGCTGTTTTCGATGAAATTGGTTCACTATTTGATGGAATAGATTCCATGAATTCAACAGGCTCAAGGCTATTATTGCTATTAATTTCATTGTTCGTTGTTTCTGAAGGAATGAATATCCATTCGGGAAAGACATCTTCATTGAATGGGAAGATTCCAGTTGCCGCGAAGCCCTTTGTAGCATTAGAAACAGTTGCAGATTTTACGTGCGCTTCTTTGAATAACTCTCCCACTTGATAATGAGTAATTGTTCGCCCAGGATGTGAACGGAACCATTTGGTGACTTCAGAGTTATAATAAGTTGTTAGAGGTCCAAAGAATGTTACATCTAAAGGTTGAACTCTATGTGTACAATGTGGAGGTAGACAAAACAATACAATATTATTCTCTTTTGCATATTCTAAAGCAGACAAATGCTTGTGGCTACTGTGCCCATCCAGAATTAACAACACTTTATTATCTGATGAATTTGGCTTAGAATACTTCACAAAGTGTTTTAGCCACGTTAAAAAGTGCTCCCCAGTCATCCATCCACTTTCGGACGGTAAACCCACGCAACCGGTTGGTGCTTTATCAGTCAATTCTTTCTTCATATTTTTTCGCGGAAATATTAAAGTAGGTGGAACATATTGTCCAATTGCGTTCATGCAGCACACTGCTGTAAAGTGTTGACCTCTTTCGGCACTACTCAATGTACCAACTTGTTTTCGCCCTTTTGTGGCGACAATTCGTTTGGTCTGATTTTGGACTGTTGAGAATCCCGATTCGTCCATGTTGTAGATATTTTGCGGTTGAAAATTGTATGTGTCCATAACTGTCTTTAATTTTTCGAAATATTTTGAAATATTGGTTTTGTTAAAAGCTTGAGCACGCGCAAGAGAAGTTGCTTCAGGTTTTCGCAAGCTTATAGATGGGTTTCGTTTTAAAAAGTTGTAAAACCAATCCCATCCAGCCATTTTTTTTTTCAGTATTGAAATAATGTTTTATATTTAATTTTTCAGCTAGCTGAAATGCTAACTTTCGTACAACTTCCGGCGTCAAACCAAAATATCTGCTTTCTAAAGTTTTTATGTGGGTAACTAAAGATTTTTCTACATCTCCAGAAAAAGTTGCTGTACGTCCTCCTAAATATCCTTTGTCGTGACCTTTTACTACTTTGGTTGTTTGAGCAACTCGTCTTCTGAGTGTACGTTTTGGGACGTTATACGTTCGGGAAGCCAAAAGCCATCCCATTTGTTTTGACTTAATTGCATTAATCGCTTGTTTCATATTTATTTCCGACCACTGCTGTCGATTTACGTTTTTTTCATCTTTTACTTTCATTGTAGATACGTACAAAGCTGAAGCAAGAAAAATATTTGAAAAAGCTTAAAAGTAAGTAAATTTCATTCGCGAGTACTTTATATGGGTATGATGGCACATCAGTGTGCCATCTTTCCCACAAAAACGAACCATCGAAAAAACGTTTGCAAACGTTTAACCTCTTACAATATAAAATTATTGGTATCACAAAAGTGAAGCTCTGATCTTTCCTACTAAATAAATTATAACACATTGCTTGATATTTCTAACCAATTTATTTTAAAACCCGAGAAACTAAAGTAAAATAAAATCTTTTCACTCACCTTTTTGCACATTACGATATAATTTTTTACATAAATGATTTTATCGACAATTAACATTACGGACGCACACTTCCATTATATTGGCTACACCTACCACTTACTAGATGGAATCAAGACTCAATAGTATTTAAAAAAAACATGCTGTGCCATCATAGCCGGTATGCCATCAAAGACGTAATTCCCCTACCCATATCTTTAAAATGTTTACAAGTTCTTAATGGCTGAGTACTGTGTTTACAGTTGTCTCAAAATTCTAGGAGCCACTTCTGAATTATCGGTTTTCATAGTTTCACTCTCAGTTCGTTATCTTAGAAGCGATCAATAGATAACTAAAAAAAATATCAGTAATATAGGAAACTCGTGTCCAAATCATTTTGATTTGTGGATTAGTTCACTCAGGTAGCCATTTTATTTGCGGTCAACTTTATTAATAAATTAAACTGTAAGAAATCAAATCTTACAACCTGTAAAATAAATTATGAGTTTATCCGACAATTTTATTTCTAGATTCCTAGCAGCAGTTAAAAGAAATATCATGAAGTCATTGTTACGTTTTTAAGCATATAAATTTGAAATTTTCATAATTGACAATTTTCTAATCTGTTCGTAATTACTAATTAAATTTTTTGAGAAATTATGTAATAGATTTATCAGGAATCTAGAAAAATGCTAAGAATGATTTCTAATTTATTTTATGAATCGTTGTGATTACTTTTACAGTTTGTTTGATGACGTCCAGCCGAAAATATTTAGTTGAAATTGCGTAAATGGTTATTAATGTTATTACTTATTATATAGTGGGGGTTCTGCTGAGGTCAACTGAGGTCAAAGGCATGCAGAATCCGCACTATATAACTAGTTGTGTATTTTAATTTTTTAATCAAGATTAGGTATTTATTGTGTTTCAAAAGAAAGGGTGTCAACAGATTTACATGTGGAATGAAAAACACCGAAATTAAAAATTTAAGATGAGAAAAAAACATTAAGATTTTTCGCCATTTTAGGGTTAAGTAATACCTAATCACTACATTAAAAAACGTCTCCCCAGATGTGATTTATTAAGCATTCTTTTAATTTTGGTGTTGTGGTTGAATGATTCGGACACAACAAAAGAGAAAAATTAGAGCATAAATCAAAAGAATAATAAATCCTAGTTTTTGTGGGGCCACGTACCACAAATTGAAAAAAAAGTAAAAATTACGGTACTTATTGTCTTGTATCGAAAAATAACTGCAGACAACTGCAGGTGTCAAAATTCACTACTATTAGATAAGCTTTTCTTTAAGTAAATACTTGATACACGACTCAAAATCACTTCCTGTGCGATTACTGTCAACATTTAAACAATAAAAAACATTTTAATAACCAAACGCTGAATTGTGTTTAGTCGTCCATAACCCGCCCAGTCCGTACGACTTTTAACTTTTAATTTAAAGACTTGTTGAACGTTAACCACTGCCTACCTAAAACCAAGATTTGCGGCTGTCAGACATTTTTTCTTTTTTTTTTTTAATAATATTAGCGAACGAGGAGTCACAGAACTTAGTGTTTTTTTTTTCGTGTTTGATGTGATGGTACGGCTTGTTGGGCATATTGTCACCGTTTTTGCTTGCTGATGGGTATCCGGTACTCTTCGAGTACTGCGAGCCAGTCATGCGTTTCATGCGACCATAGTAAATTTATTTGTTTTTGTTAGAATTTGTCTATTGTGTGTCTGGTGATTACAGATAAACGTTTTCTCGTAGCTTGACCAGGAAAGTTTATTTTTATCGCAATTTGTAGTTTCTTTTTCTTTTTTTGTTGCTGTTCTGATTTGAAGTTTTCATTCATTAAAATCTGCTATAGGCGGTTACGCACTTAATTGGTGTTGTATTGATTGATACTTTAACATTTATACCGTTTATGTTACTCTTAATTAGTCGCGAAACTTTTGCTAAAGTCATTGCGGTTACTAACAGAATGTTTCATATCTTATTTAACAAAAAGGATTTATTTAGGAAATTATGCTTTTTCAAGTTTTGCTTCTGTTGTTAATTAATTATGTAGTATAACGCGCTCAAACATCAAAGGTATATCAAACTCTTCTCCAATGTTTATTTTCTCCATTTTTGAATTATTTTATTGGCAAAATTAACTACAGGTGGGAGATGGATATTTCGAGTGTTTTTTTTTGACACACAACAAACTCGTTTCTTTGATAAGTGTCAGCCCACTTTATTTAAATGCGCACTCATCATTTTCGTTTTTAATTTATTGTTAATTTAACCGGTTGAGATGAAAGTTTTGTATGCATCTCTGGAATAAAGTTTTTTAATCCCGAGGCTTCAGTCGAGGGATTAATATGGCAGTTTATTCCCTTGATGTATAATAAGTAACTGATGTGAAGTAGTTAAAAATTTCACCAAATACATATTCACTAATAATACTTATAATATAATACTTATGCTCCGAGGTGCAAAATTTTGACCTTTCACGAAAATATTGGAGGATGGCTATACCTACTCCTTTTACCGAACAGATGGAGTTGTAAAAGTGCGTAATTTTCACGTGATCTTTTAAAATTCTAGTATTATTTTCAGTTTCCTCTGGTTTTGCCTGTTTTTAATTTTACTTCCTAATTCGATATTTTCTTCAAATTAGTTTTTTTAAAGACAGTTGTTTTGTTTTGAAGTAGAAAACCAATCGGAACTTCTGATTATAAATCTGGAGGAATCAGATCCCGATTCAGAATTTAATTTCTCGGGCTGATAACTATGGACAAATTTTTAATTGTAAAAAATATCATAAATCAGAATCAAATTGTATTCCTTTATTTTTAATAATATAACATAACACTTAGTGTAATTAATAGGAAGTTTTTTATTTGACGAACGTCAATTTTATTAGTCTACATTTTATTATTGTTAAACAATGATCTTTTATCAGAGGCGTACAACCAATTTGGACTCAAATTTCAATAATTTGTATATCTGACAAAACTTTTACCTGAACTTTTCTTTACTTTTAGCACCCTGTATATGAGGAATATCGTTTAGATGATAAAACGTTAACCAAAATTTAGCTAGTCATGCCCGCCAATAATAATTTGATGACGCCCCCTGATTTTTTTTTTATTAAACGCCATTTAAATTTTATAAAATAACATATTTTATACTTGTACTTTATGAATCCGCTTTGATCTTTACTCTAGGTATCCAACAAAAATAATCCAAATTGCATCATCACATGAGAAAAGTTCTGTTGAAATAACCTTCGACCAGTTTTTTCACCAGTAATATGCAAAAATGAATTGTATTTTTGATTTCAGCCGATCAATTTGGGAAATTAAGATTACAACGAAAATAACACATCAAAATGAAGTTATAGGTTATAGGTCGCCACACTACCATCTCACTAAAGTACTTACATGCTCACTATTGGAAAGATTAATTCGAGGTCGCACTTTGAATATTAATTGACCTGCAAGATCTCCAGATTTCACACCATCTGACGTCTTCTTATAGCCTTATTTAAGAGAAAGTGTGTCTTCACTACCTATTATTGCAAACATTTTCTATGTTTGGTGATGAAAAATTATTGATCTTTTAGATTTGTTGAAACTGTATTTTCCTTTATTTTGATTTATTTTCAAGAGTAGATAATGTTTGAGACGGTCAAAAACTTATCTGATTGTTAATTAAATTATCTGAGAAATTAATGCCTTTCATGTAGACTACTCCCAGATTTCAGGAAATTCTATTTAACTGAAAATGAAAATCAGTTATTATTATCTATTTTTTTTATATGTCCACTAAATGTTTATTTAAAATTGGTAAGAACGCTCTACAGGTATTGATATATTTCCCTCCCTGTTATTTTGACATTTCAAATATTCGGAATCTGAAATACCAAAAGGCCACCGGCATAATTGAGTACCTATTAACCAGAGGAATGGAACCGACAAGGACTGTATTGAAGTTGCGAAAAAAAGTTTCAATAATCAAGTATTATAAAGAACTCAAAAAACCATATGGAGCCAGTTTCGAATGGTTTGTATTAAAACTATGCAGTCTAAATAAAAATTTTGTGATGACGTCATCAACATTTTTGCAAGGACACATTTTGAATAGATGCAATGTAATACTAATAATAATAGCAGTACTGTATTC